AGTAAGAAATTGAAACGATTCCGGTGAATAAAGTTGCTGAAATCGTCAAAATACCGAATATCGGGAGGTACCGTTATATGGAGGCTATACGAAGACGTTGGCCTGCATACAAAAATGGTTGTCATAGGCTGTAGTACCCATTACGAACTTTAAATACGAAATTCGAAAAAAACCGCTAAAATCGCGAAAATATCGAAAATTGGGAGGTACCTTTGTATGGGGGCTATATGAAAACGTGGACCTACATGGCCCACTTACGAACTTAACCTGCCAACTGGCAAAATAAACATGTCTGCGAAATTTTAGCCTTCTATCTCGATTCGTTCGAAAGATAGCGTGATTACAACAGATAGACAGACGGACGGACATCGCTAAATCGGAATAGAATTTTACGCTGATCAAGAATATATATACTTTGTTGGGTCTTACATGAGTATTTCGAGAAGTTACAAAAGGAATGACAAAGTTAATATAACTTCCGGTATGGTGGAGGGTATAAAAAGCTATTTGTGATGGAATCCAAGCGTAATAGTGTGATTTCTTTATATTTGGCTGGAAAACCACAAGTGTACTTACACCGCAACAGAAAGAAAATAGACTCAAAAGAGCGACGTGGTGAACTGCCGAATTTGGTTTTCTCCGTCTCCGATGAGAAAACATTCTTTGTCCAGCAGTTTGTAAAGAAACAAAATGATCCTGTTTACTTGCCAAAGAGGTCAGCGTAAAATGCGCACCTTCGGTTGGCCACCAGAACTCAAGCGCCGGCCATGGTGATGGTGTGGGCCGCCATAACAGCCGATTGTTGCTCTCCGCTCGTATTAATCGACCGTGGCATCAGAATAAATGCCGAATATTATCGCAAAAATATTCTGGAGGGTGTATTAAAGCCTTGGGCACGCAAACATTGGACATTCCAACAGCTCGGTAACATCGCACTAAGCACGTGCGAGCGCACAATGGCCACCAAAATCTCCGGATACCAATCCGTTGGACTATTGTGTCTGGAGTATTTTGGAAAGCAAGGTTGGCACTAAAAAAAGTACCGAATTGTCGATCACCTCAAGCAAGCGCTTCGCCGGGAATTTACCAACATACCGCAGAGCAACACACGGGCAGTGTGTGACGGTTTCATTGGCTGTTTTAAGGTCATAATTCGTACCAAAGGCGACAAATTCGAACAAATCTAAACTTATTCCAAAATTTGATGCTATTTCCGAAATATTGTACCTTCATTCAATACAATTTAAAAAAAAAGTAAAAATTATGGTGTTTGACTTTGTTGCCGTTTTTTAGCATTCCACTTTTTTCTCCAATATTATTATAACTAGTATTAATTTAGTCCACTTTCCGTTCTTATCTGAGTTCTCGAAACTGTTAAAGCGACCTCTGATAGACAATTAATATTACACATGTCTCTTTCAATACATGCGATAGCTTGTGATTTCATCTGGCAATACCATGCTGCCACCGACATCTTTTATCAACTTATACAGACTAGCTAGTCATGACCAACACCATGTTAATTTGACTGCTTTTGGTACAGATGGCATTGCTGCACTTTTAACAATAAAATGGACGTATTGACCAACAAAAATCGAAATAGAAAAATATTTTCCATTTGCAGAAAATCCATATTTCACCTGGCGATCAATTGTTATTATGAAAATATGACACAAAACTTTTTAAAACATAAATAAATGAAATAAAAACAAGGAAACATAATATATGAATTTATTTTTATGGAACAGGAATCCCTAACTTAGTTTTATACCGATCCAATCTTTATGCAATCATATAAAGGGGTGGACAAGTTTTCTAAATTAAAGCAGACAAGCTTGATACTTCTTTGAATTTATGATTATTGTCCTGACAATTTAACATTTTTAAAAGGGTATTTCAACCTCGATTAATTTGAATTGTTTTTTTTTTTTTTTTTTTGGTATTTTGTAAGAATTAAATCTCATTTTAAAGCATAATGCCAAATATAAGTTCTTAGTAACCGTTAGTCATTAGCAAATTTGATCAATAATTGAATTCCAGTTGTTTGGTTTACCCCCTTAGCGATTTTAAGTTCATTAACTTTATTGGCAACACTGCAACTTCCTTTTCAGTTGTCAATTTCTTTCAACGGTGATCGGTCGCGTACTCTGTGCTCCCCAATTGCAAATCATTAAACTAATGCAATTATTCGCTAAAAAATGAAATAAAAGTGCAAATTTTAATAAAATAAGTAGCAAAAAGCTAAATTAGTGTTAAATAATTGTATTTAAAGTTGTTTTTATCTAAGAAATGAAGTGTTTCCTACTTTGCTTGCAATTCCATCGTTAATGTTCGTGTATCAACAAGTCGTGTGTGTGCCGTTGCGTGAAATTGCAATTGTATTAGTGTTTGTGTGTTGCTGGTCGTTAGTTTTTTTTAACGACTTAACAACAGTTGTGTTCACTGCGTTTGTTTATAAAATCGTGTGAAAAAATGTGCATTTTGTGTTTGTGGAAATATTTTACTGGTAGTATAGATGGCGAAAGTTTATTTAAATATAAGTGGCCAAAATAATTAAAGATCATTCATTTAATCTAATTTTTATCATTCTTTGTGGAAACCATAAACGATGCGACGTTTCCTCGATTGATTCTCTGCTTATGAAGGTAAGTTAAAAAAAATTAATTTTGTAGTTGAAAATTTGTCTGTTCCAGAAGCTGCAAAATGAAAGAATTTGTGGTAACCCATTATGATATCAAAGAAATTGCAAAACGAGTAGACGTTTGTAGATTCTGGAATAGAGTAGAGGAATTAGAATTATTCAACAACCTTTTATCGATCCGTTTGTGTTTCATACTAGGCAATGAATATGCATTATACCCAACTGATATTCAGTGTATCCTTTTTAATATAATCGCCTTATGAAAGTCTATTTGAGGTACATTTTCTGCCAAGTGAATCATATGGCACATTATTACAATAAATGCCTTAAATGCAAACATGGCCATAGACGTCTTAACATTTTTCCCCATTCTTCAAATGTCCAAATCGATCGGACGTCCTAAGCGATTTTCATGAAATAATGAGGTTTTTAGAGATTGTCTCTTTGGATCTTCGAATCAAAATTTCAAATTTTAATATAGATCTTAATTCGATCTACAGTGTGTCTCAGAGGAATAGGGATGGGTTTATTTCACAATGCCTTCTTTACCATTAATTTTTTGGAACATAAAGTTGATATTTTCCGGAAAAATGGGTTTAAATCCGTTTGGTTTCACCAACTTTGGAGTATCCTCCACCATTTAAAAAGTCTATGGGTACCGACACATAATGTTCTTGTGTTTGGAAGTTGCAATACAAAATATTTGGAGTCGCCGTTATAGGGGTCTATATAGAAAACATGGTCGGGTGTACATAATTTTCTATTGAGTACTACAAAACCCCAGCTTTGAAACAATTCCGTTGAAAAATATATAATATAATACAAAAACAAATAAAAAAAACACTGTAAGTTCGGCCGGACCGAAATTTGAATACCTTCCAATATTTGGAACGAATTTGGCAATTCTCAAAAACAACAAAATCCGTTAAAAATTCTGTTAAAATCTAAAAATACCGAATGTAGCTGTTATATTAGGGTCTATACGACGATATGGACCGGCATAGGTAACATTTGTCATAAGCCATTGCAATATTCAAATGCGAAAATCGGTAATAATGTAGATAAAATCATCAAAATACCGAATATCGGGAGATACGTGGACCTGCACATACAATTTTCTGTCTTAGGCTGTAGTATCAAATACCAAATTTGAAACAATTCCGGTGAAAAATGTAGCTAAAATCATTAAAATACCGAATATCGGGTGGTACCGTTATATGGGGGCTCCACGAAGACGTGGCTCTGCGCAGACAATTTTCTATCTTAGGCTGTAGTATCCATAACTAACTTCAAATACCAAATTTGAAACAATTCCGGTTAATAATATCGCTAAAATCACCAAAATACCGAATATCGGCAGGCACCGTTATATGGGGGCTATACCAAAACGTGAACCTACATGGCCCATTTTCAATACCAAAAGCCCTGCAGACATAACATACATTTGAGTAAAATTTTATAAATCTACTTCAATTCGTTCAGAAGCTAGAGTGATTTCCACAGACGGATAGACGGACGGACATCGCTAAATCGACATAGAATTTTGAGCTGATCAAGAATATATATCGAAAATGTGTATTTCGAGGTGTTAAAAACGAAATGACAAACTTAATATACCCTCCATACTATGGTAGAGGGTATAATACCGAATATCGGGAGGAACCGTTTTATGGGGTTTATACACACTTGGAACTATATGGACAGTACGTTCGAGGGACGTTTCTTGCACACTGGAACATAAATTGCCAATTTACCTGTACTGGTATCCTTATATGGGAGCTATGTCAATTCGTGGGTATATATACATGTTGCCTATTACAATACATTCTAAGCTCTTAAAATACACGTACTAAAATTGTATTTATCTACTTCGTTCGGATCGAAGGCTACAGTTAGTTCTAAATTCGAGGGGAAATTTTTTCAGAACCTTTAAAATTTAAATCGCATGATTTTGAAAAACTGTTGCAGGTCATATAGGTTCTCATCATAGGTTCTCAAATTGCAGTTAGAAATTGAAGCAGAAATCTTCCAAATACCTAGAATACCTTAAATCCGATGGTGCGGCGTTAATTGAAGGCTATGCCGAATAGTGGCGGCGTATTAAACATTTGCAAATGATCGCTAATTGGTTTAGAAATTTTCGCTGAAACATTCATCGTGACCTGATAATCTACTTAGACGTTATACTTTTTTTTTTTTTTGTAAATTTTTAAGTCTCTACACATGGCATAAGATTGATTTGATTTTACCAAGCCATGTATGTTCATGACAGTAGGTTTTCCCATTAAACTTAAAAGTTGATTAAAAACAACTATTTTATTTTTGCCATTTGTTTTATCAAATCAAACAAATATTTGAATATTTTACATGTATATTTGTGTTTATTTTTTAAAAGCCACATCTTCATATTTTCGTGGTCTTTTCTTTTAATTTTCCGTCAATAGTATATAGCAAGTTTCCCTGGACTCTTAAACAAAAATGTGTATTATTCTAATTTGTTTTTTTTTTTATTATTATTTTCTTCCACTTGTGGTTTAGCGACATTTATATAGGTATTGTATATGTATCTTATATGTGAATAAGTATACTTTTTAAGCGGATTTAAGATAAAATGCTAAAATAGAAAAAGAAAAAGGTCAACGAAGTATTCAAACATTGACTTGGAGAATGAGTACAGGGTTTAGCTCTTTTAGTTATGTTTCTCATGAAGGCATAATAACGATTTTCGAAATGATAAGTTGTTTTAAGAAAAAGAAAAGTGGAGGTTTCTTCAATATTTTGTTTTTGTTGTTGTTGTTTGCTTTTGCATTACAATATAGGTAAAATTAATACGAAAAGTTAACGTAAAGTTATGTTTTTGTGTTATTGTTAAAAGAGAAATCAACACATCCTGTGCCGAACTGCATGGATTGCTCACTCTTCGTTGTCCGAATACCATGATAAACGTTCTTCATAGAATTTAATAACCATTTGGGGTATTTTTACATTTGCTACCGAGGCGGCCACCATTTCAGCTTGATCCACACCTTTGAACTGTATAAGGAAATATAGGCCTCCATTCGAATCGGAGGCTCCAAGAATTTTTTCAGCTTCAAGACCTTTATCGAAGCCCGTCAATTCTGAGTGTCTTGTTGAGGCATCCGAAACAGATTCATTATCCGTTTCATCTTTGCCGGAATCTGTGCGTTTCTTTTTGCTTCCTGAAATCAGAAAAGTGGTAGGTAAATTACTGGAATATGGAAAGATTGTTCGTATTCGTGTTACCTGAAGATTTTGAGTCCTCATTTTTACGTTTACCACCAGCAACGCTGGATCGTCCGCTGGAAGGTTCTTTTTTGCTCTTTTCAGTTGTTTTGGTGCTAGATGTTGAAGCAGCCTGAAATAAAAAGTAGTAGGTATGAAGTGTTAGTTGTGAAAAAGTTGTAAATGTTCAAAATGTGTGTATAAATTTCGATCTTATGCAATCTGGTTTTATATGGGACTTAATTATCTAACAAAGGAACTACTTATAGATAATGGAATGTGGTGAATGCGGTGTATAAAACAAGCAATAAAATAAATTAAACCATTCTGTAAAAAAGTTGGCCACAATCATCAAAATACTGAATATTGGGTGACTATAAAATAAACGTGACTTATATAGAAATTATTAGCAGAAGAACCCATCAAGGAATCCAAATACTGAATCTTAAGTAATTTCCGTAAAAAAAGTGTTTAAAATCGTCAAAATATCGAATATCGGGAAGTACCTTTATATGGGAGCTATACGAAAACGTGGAGTTATATAGACAAAATGCTGTCACATGGAATAGAAACCGTTATAAACTCAAAATACCGAATTAAAAAATATTCCCTAAGGAAATGTGGCTTAAATCGTCAAAACTCCGAATAACGGGAGATAAAATTTTATTGGGGCAATACGAAAACGTAGACTTGTATGGACAATGTTTTGTTACAGAAGATAGACTCCACTTGGAATTATAAATGCCAAATAAGCTATTCCTCTAGAAAGGCTAAACTCATCAAAGTACGGAACATGGGAAGGTTAAATTATATGGGGACTATAGGATAACATGCACATACATAGACTATTCTGTTAGAGTGTGACTAAAATCGTCAAAATATTGAATATTCTGTTAGAGGGTTGGCTATACGAAACCCTGAAGCGATGTAACTCATCTTCGAACTTGACCCGACTGCAGACAACTCAGTGTCAAATTTTAGCTTTCTATCAAATCCGGTGTGGACTCTAGCGTGATTAAAACAGACGGACGGATGGCTAAACTGGCCTCGAATATTATGCTGATAAAACGGTTATTCCGATGAGTTCCAAACGGAATGACAAACTTTATATACCCTCCATACCATGTAATAAAAATAAGATCAATTTTTCCTAAATAACATAGTCTGCAACATGTGGTCGGTTGCTACGCCAATTTATTCCGTACGCAATTTTTGAATTTTTTGAGATTTTTTCTGTATTCTATGATAATGTTTTGAAATACCCTCTCGAACATTACTTTTTGATTTGATCACAAAGATCAGAATGATTTTTGTATATTTTCATGAATATTAAATGGTGTCTAAAACACTTATATTTAAAATATTAAAGGCCTTTTTGTAGTTATTTAGGTTATGACTTTGCTTCCGAAGAAAATGAATTATACCTTATAACTACAGTTGCCCAATAAAGTCTACATACAGTCATATAAAATTCATTTTTAATAAAACTAAACCCGTATCAAAAGTTTTTATTTATCTAGCTTATAGCAATTCCAAAAAATATTTAAAACAAATAATAAAAGAGGTCATACTTATAACCGATATGCAGTACATTTCGTAATATGTCAAATTTGGTGCCCAAAAAAGTGTACATAAGCACATCCCTAACTTTCAACAAAGTGCCACCACAAAATAACTGTATTTTTTTGAGTTGTTTAGTTTCAAGTGTGTGTTTATTAAACGACTAAAAATTTTTAGATTAATTCTCCTTTTTGTTGTAAAAATGTCAGAAAACGTAAAAAAACGAAGCGAAATTTCACAAGATGTGAGAAATTTAATAATACACTTACGCAAAAATTTTTAATATGAGTCGGTCTTCAATACAAACTGTTGTAAAAAATTATAATAAGTACCAAACAACTGAAAATCGTCATCGTTCTGGCAGACCAAGCAAGTTGACCGACCGCGATAAACGAGATGTGACTCGCATTGCTACCGCTAATCCAAAAACCAGTGCAGTTGATATTTCGAAATACCTCGAAAAATTGAATGAAGTCTCCATACATCCTGAAACTGTTCGAAATGTTTTAAGAGCAAACGATTTCCACAGCCGAATCCCAAGGAAGAAACCTTTCATAAGTAAAGTGAATATGGCAAAACGACTCGACTTCGCAAAACTGCATCAAAATGACGATTTTGATTACTGGAAAAACGTTATTTTTAGTGATGAGTCTAAATTTAATATATTTGGATACGATGGTAAGAAAAGGGTATGGCGGAAACCAAATACAGCGATGGATATGTAGAATTTGTTACCTACAGTGAAACATGGAGGCGGATCTGTAATAGTGTGGAGGTGCATGTCAGCTGCAGGAGTGGGCAACCTTGTGTTTATTGAGACCACAATGGATCGACATGTGTATTTGAATATGTTGAAAGCCAATCTGAAGAGTTCTGCCACTAAATTGGGACTTTCTTCAAATTGGATCTTTCAACAAGACAACGATCCGAAACACACAGCTCAGATCGTAAGAGAGTGGCTGCTATACAATGTCCCCAAACAATTGCATTCGCCTCCTCAATCACCGGATATTAATCCAATAGAAAATCTGTGGGATTATTTAGACGAGAGTGTGCGAAAAAACAAGATATCGAGCAGAGGACCTGAAAAGGGCTTTACTTGAGGAGTGGAACAAAATACCGCCAAATATCACACAAAATGTAGTTTCCTCTATGCCCAAACGAATACAAGCTGTATTAGATGCTGAAGGCGGTCCAACAAAATATTAACTTACTTTAGTCGTTTAAATAGTTTAGAAAAACTATAGCTTTATTTAACTGTATGTACACTTTTTTGAGTTTTTTAGGCATTGAAGCAAGTTTTCGTTGATGTTATTATTTAATGTATAAAAACTTCATTACTTTTATGACGTGTATAAGCTTTTAAAGCTGTACTTATTCAATAAAACCAATTTTTCAATTTAAAAATGTCGTTTCATTGAAATAACCGGGTTTTTTTACGTGTACGTAGACTTTATTGGGCAACTGTAGATGCCGTTATAATTAAAAATGAAAACTGATATGGAATTATTCTTTCACTAATTTCAAAATGATAGATGAGTTATTAACAAAAAAATAAGGTTGCTATTGCCGAATTTTTAAATAATGCTACCTCAACTGATCTGTCGTGAACACAGCGGTCATATTAAATAAGTCTAATTTTCAAACTTAAAATGTGTTTGAATACTTTCGTTCATTTAGCTCTAAATGAAGGCACTATATTACAGTTATTATTGTAAACAAAACTAAAATAACTATAAATAACAAATATGGAAGGGCAATCTTCTCTGTGAAATGTTTTTTTAACGCCACTGATCCAAATTTGAGATCTGTAATATAAAACCAGCAACAAGCGATTTAGGCGTCACCCTGTTATACCGAAACCAAACTTCATACAATATCCCGCCAAAACATATACAAAACAACAACACGAACCTAAACCGATGGCAACAACAGGGTAATAAATGTAAATTCTTTCATAACCAACATGCCCATACACACAGCCTGTACAAACACACACACAACAACATTCTGTGCATAAATGCTAAAAATGGAAAATAATTTTTTCAATTTTTCTTCCAATTCTCACCTCTTCCTTGGTTCTTTCCTCTTCGAAGGCTTGAATTAAATCTTGACAATCGAGATTTTCTTCTGGTTCCCAAGTATTTTCAGATTCTGGATAACCCTTCCATTTCAGAAAATATTCGATCTGGGAAGGAAGAACGAAATCGATGTGTTGTTATACATGGCCATGCAAATTGAATTGCGTTCTACTTACCTTTCCCTTGCGTACACGACGTGCACAAATTTTTTCCACAACATACTCTGCTTCTTCGTCCGAGGAGCCACTGCCAGAAGCATCAGTTTCATTTTTCTTGGATTTCATTTTGAAAAATTTGTTTCCAACTTATTACAGGGTAAAGGCGACAAGAACTCTGATGTGGTGACTGCTGTGTTAATTAGTTGCTGATTCTGTTTTTTTTTTTTTTCGTTCAAACAAGATGTAAAATGACAACCCAGCCGGTGTTTATGGCAAAGAGCGTTGTTTTTTTAGAATTGCGAGAGGGGGAGAAAAAGAAAAAAAATGCTGGTCAGATAATGCAAAAAAGAAACTCTGGAAGCAACAAGAAAAACATCGAAGCTGACTTTGCTGCCACACTGTACATTTGTCTAAATAAACACAATAATTCACTTACATTTAACTAAATTAACTTTAAAATATTAAAAGTATAGAACTCTTCGTTATTAAATCCGCGTTTCTTTGAGAATTTGTCAAAATTAACAAACCGACGCGTGCAGTGACTGTTTTCGAATGTATTGACTTTTTCTAAGGGATCACTAGATCGACTTTTGACTAATCGATAAAGTGCTGCCAATGTTACACTAAAGAAGCAGAAGAGAAAGAGAAAATAAGAAAAATGACAATTATCTATTTATTTTTATTTGTGTACTTACGCCTGAGTGAAGAAGAAGATGGACATAAGTGAAATTATAATAGAGAACGTAAAGAATTATGTGTTCTTGTATAATTCATTGTAGTCAACAAATGAGCAAAAAGTAAACAACTTCATCAGCTGTTTTATAATTTCGTCGGTATTGTGTTCCATACGACGAACTTTCGCGGCTCATTTTGTCGCCGCGTAGGGCGAAATTCGTCGTTCGCTCCAATTGTGTTCCTAGCATTATACTTTGTATATCTTCCTTAAGTAAGGGCGTATAGCTGGCAAGATTTCTTCATTTATTTCAGACCCAATATTTTGTTATTTTCATGATTGAGAGGGTATAAAAGTCAAGGAAGAATAGACAGAAGACTAAAGGGCTAAGTACATAAGAAGCTTGAAGTCATAGCTAGGCATATTTTGTGACATTTCATAAAGGGAATACAGAGCCGCACTAAAATCCGCACTATCCTTTTGTGATATATAATAAAGGAATGCCGGAGTTGCACTTAAATTCTGCCGTCGTTTCCCGTTGTAATTTAACATTAATACAGGGTTGCCCATATTCGACGGACCTTTGGGCCCATTCCAATCGACGAGGCTTGTCCGCAGGCAACATTCTTTTCGTCAATTGAATTTTGTACGGGAACAAATGCGAATAATGGCTTCTTCGGATTAGAAAGAGCCTTACCAGTCGAAAATTTTTCGTATAAACGCTTAATGGTGTTCTTAGAAGGCGCACTTCTCACATTTTTTTAACAATTGACTTCTTCTGTTGAATGTAAATTTCAACTATTTCAGAGCACTCGCGTCTGCTTGGACTGACGCTTCAAACGCGGTATGTCATTAAGCGATGTGACATCTCTGTCAAAAGTTATGGCGTTGCCAGATGGGTCCGTCGAATATGGACAACCCTGTATCCCTAGCCATGATGCCAAGAAGCTTATGTACCCTCGACCAAGTTCGTTCATGAACCCTAATGTTTTACAAGATAATTCATCAATATTATAAAGATAACAGTTTTAAGGATAACTGTTCCAATCTCTTCCGATTTTGGAATAAAACTTACGGCATTCAACATTTTCCTCCCAAAACTCAGCATTTTCAGTGCTTATTATTAATTTTATCATTCTATACCGACTTCTCAGGCTTATGCGATGTCACATATGCACAAAGATTTTCATCGTCACGGCGGCGTTTAGCATCGTCAGGACATAACGCGACGTAATGTGTAGACGCTTAAAAAATTTTAAGTATCGATGCAATTAGTTAACCTTAAATCCTATTACCTACAGTAACATGTGTTTGTTGTTGCTTGTGAGGTCATAAAAATCCTTGGGACTCATGCTGTTTATATTCGGAAACTCCTTAGTAAATAAGAAAAATGTCCTTAAACCGGACAATAACAATGTTTATTGCATTAGGAAAAACATCTTGTAACCCTCTTAAAAACAGCGTTATTACAATCAGTATAATGGATGGATGAATGGGATTTTTCTTTTCAAATTCGCTGAAAATTCAATTATGGAAGGATTGATTGGTTGTTTGGCATTAGAAAAAGTTTAACTGAAAAACTGTACAAATACCTGATTATAAATTCAGATTTGAAGATTTATGTATAGATATGAGGTTATGGGTGAGATGAAAAAACTGCAACCACCTTCAGACTGCTGTCATATGTAAGCCACTCGTCCGATAGCTGTTAAAATTTTTCTAGTGACAGCTCATTAGATTTTTTACAAGTATACAAAAGCATTTTGGTGAGAATTTTTTCAGAAAAAATGTTATCCGTGATGGAATTCAAGCGTGATAGTGTGATTTTTTTTTATATTTGGCTGGAAAAACACAAGTGGCTATCGTTAGAGCACTCCAGCATTTAAATGTGAATAAATCTTTTGTGACTTGTACCATAGCCCGACGTCAAGGAAGTGGACGGACGAAAACGGCAACATCAGCAGAAATGGTTCAAAAAGTAAAGAAGCGACTTGATCGAAACCCGCGTCGTAGAGGCCGACAAATGGCTCGTGAGCTGAACATATCGCAATATTCCATTCGGCAAATATTGAAAAATGAGCTCGGAGTAAAGCCATTGAAATTCCAAAAAGTGCAAGAACTTACACCGCAACAGAAAGAGCTAAAGAGTTGCTTCACTTGGCAGAAAGTGGTGAACTGCCGAATTTGATTTTCACCGATGAGAAAACAATTGTTGTCCAGCAGTTTGTTGGCCACCAGAACTCAAGCGCCGACCGTGGTGAGGGTGAGGGCCGTCATAACAGCCGATGGTCGCTCTCCGCTTGTATTAATCGACCGTGGTATAAGAATAAATGCCGAATATTGTCGCGAAAATATTCTAGAGGGTGTATTAAAGCCTTGGGCACGCACACATTTCGGCCGTAGAACTTGGACATTCCAACAGGACTCACCACCATCGCTCTCAGCACGCGACCACCAAGAATGGTTACAAAATGAGGTTTCTCGCTTCATTTCTAGCGCACAATGGCCACCAAAATCTCCGGATACCAATACGTTGGACTATTGTGTCTGGAGTATTTTGCAAGGTTGGCACTAAAAAATACCAATTTGTTGATCACCTCAAGCAAGCGCTTCGCCGGGAATAGGCCAAATACCGCAGAACAACATTCGGGCAGCGTTCATTGGCCGTTTGATGACCATAATTCGTGCCAAAGGTGACCAATTCGAACAAATCTAAACTTGTTCTAAAATTTACATTTCTATTCTATTTCTATTTCCGACATTTTTCTTTCATTCCATTCTTTCATTTTATTTTTCTGGCTTAATATGTCAACTTTATTTGTTTATGTGTGTGTATTCTTTTCAATAATAAAAAAAGTTGTTCACAAAATATTCAACTTCGGGTGTTTCAAAATTCTTATTGCGCCGTATGTATCGACAAAAAGTACAGTTTTTGTCGCGAAATAAACCATAAGAGATATGTAGAACATGATTTTGAAAAGAAATTCTGACCTTTCATTCAGTTTTCGCGGTTTTAAATTATTTATTCAAAATCAATGCAACAAGTTGTTTGCTTTTTTATTGTTTTGATAGTAATTCTGACATTACAAGCCAAACAGGTAAACCTCTATACTTGCAATTTTTTCAAAGTTAGCCTATGGGTAGTAAACCCATGGTACAATGAATAGTACCATGGGTAGTTCTGCCCTACCTTGAATTTATTGTACCATGCATGGTACAATGATTTCAAGGTAGGGCTATGCTACCATATGATTTTAATTTTTTTATTTTCTTGGCTTAATATGTCATCTTTATTTGTTTATGTATTTGTTTTCTTTTCAATAACAAAAAATTGTTCAGAAAATATTCAAATTCGGGTGTTTTCAAAATGTTTATTTCAACGTATGCAGCGAAATAATCCTTTAGAGATATATAGGACATGATTTTGAAAAGAAGTGTTAACCTTTCATTCAGTTATCGCGGTTTTCAATTATTTATTCAAAATAAATGCAAGTTGTTTGATTTTTTTATTTTTTTTTGATACCTCTATACTTGCAATTTTTCAAAGTTGGCCTACCTTCTCTTAATTGTACCATGGTACCATGGTTGTGAGAATAATGCAAACAAGACAGTTTTGGTTTGTTTTCTAATGATGTGATTTTATTATTATTTTATATAGTTTTTAATTTTTAAATTTAATTTGCACCAATATATGTGTGTGTATATGTAGGTATTTTTTACTTTGTTCTACTTAAATGCTTAAAATTCTTAACTAAATGGAATTTGATTTTTGTACACCAATGAGTTGTTTTTTTTATTATAATTTTTATAAAACAATTTTGTGTTGTTGCATTTTTTATTTCGTGAATTTTATTAGTTTTATATATGTATGTAGATTACATTTACAAGTTTTTATAACTATGCTTGTTACCTATATTTATGTATTTACTTAAAGTTACTTTTAATATTATTCAATACATTCAATAAGTATGGCCCCGCTATTCCACAAGTTCTTTTTTTTTGGATCTATTTGATTTTCAAAATTGTTTCGCTTTGTTTTTATTGAAAAGTTTAGAACTCTTTAATAAAATATTGTGTGTTTGGCATTTCAGTGTTGCAACAAGATGGCAAGTTAAAGTTTGTTTTATTAAACTTTAAATATTGGTGCTAATCCAATATGTGTTTCGTGAAGAATTTTAAAATTCCTATTTTTCAGATTATAAACCCAGTTTTGTCTTTCTTTAAAACATAGCCATAGATTTAGGAACGCTATTGTTTTTTGATATTTTGTTTCTTGATAAATTGTTTCATGTTGAAAAGTTACCCAGAAGTCCTGTAAATAGAGCGACATGAAAGAAAAATTCTAAGAGAACCAAAACCAGAATATATGATCGTAAGTTAAAGAGCAAACCTCAAAATACAAATAAACTGAACCATAAAATTGTAGCCTTGCAAAAATTGTTAAAATCATGCGGAATCAATTCTAACCTAGAAATAGAAACGGTGACGATAGAAGAGCCTTAAACTTAAACGATGTGAATGTTTCCCACCTAGAGCAGTTCTTCAACGGCATTTTCACGTTCTAAAAATTGAGGTACAATCTAAAACAGTCATTAAAATAGGGCCGCCTATACCAGAAATGGGCGACAATGGTATTTCTGAAGCAATTAGAAAACCTTAGATACTCTCTACTATGTCCAGATCAAACTTTTTTCGTGACCTTTGTCGGACCATTAAACATAAATTATGGTCAAGTCGGTTGTTCTTAAAATCACTAATATTTTGATAAATGTGACTTGACCCTTAAAAACACCAATGATTGGTTACATTTATATAGGGAACCATTTCAAAACCTAGATCTACATTTAATAATTTTCGAGAGGAGATTTTTCAGCTATTAAGACTTCAACCACAAGATTGTAAGCATTTCGGC